TAGTGTGAATGCCAAAAGATGTAAAGTTGATAACGATAGTCCCACATATTTGTGGCACTGCCGCCTTGATCACATTGGTGTCAAGCGCATGAAGAAGCTCCATGCTGATGGACTTTTAGAGTCTCTCGATTATGAATCATTTGACACATGCGAACCATGCCTCATGGGCAAGATGACCAAGACTCCGTTCTCCGGAACAATGGAGCGAGCAACCAACTTGTTGGAAATCATACATACCGATGTGTGCGGTCCAATGAGCATTGAGGCTCACGGAGGATATCATTATGTTCTCACTCTCACTGATGACTTGAGTAGATATGGGTATGTCTACTTGATGAAACACAAATCTGAGACCTTTGAAAAGTTCAAGGAATTCCAGAATGAAGTAGAGAATCAACGTGACCAAAAGATAAAATTCTTACGATCGGATCGTGGAGGAGAATATTTAAGTCACGAATTTGGTACACACTTAAGAAAATGTGGAATCGTTTCACAACTCACGCCGCCTAGAACACCTCAGTGTAACGGTGTGTCCGAACGTCGTAATCGCACTCTATTGGATATGGTGTGATCTATGATGTCTCTTACCGATTTACCGCTATCATTTTGGGGATACGCTCTAGAGACAGCTACATTCACTTTAAATAGGGCACCGTCTAAATCCGTTGAGACGACACCGTATGAATTATGGTTTGGAAAGAAACCTAAACTGTCGTTTCTAAAAGTTTGGGGATGCAATGCTTATGTCAAGAAACTTCAACCTGAAAAGCTCGAACCCAAGTCGGAAAAATGCGTCTTCATAGGATACCCTAAAGAAACCATTGGGTATACCTTCTACTTAAGATCCGAGGGCAAGATCTTTGTTGCCAAGAACGGATCCTTTCTGGAAAAAGAGTTTCTCTCGAAAGAAGTAAGTGGGAGGAAAGTAGAACTCGATGAAGTACTACCTCTTGAACAGGATAGTAGTGCAGCTCAGGAAAATGTTCCTGTGATGCCTACTCCAACTGGAGAGGAAATTAATGATGATGATCAAGGTACTTCTGATCAAGTTGCTACTGAACTTCGTAGGTCCACAAGGACACGTTTCGCACCAGAGTGGTACGGCAACCCTGTCTTGGAAATCATGTTGTTAGACAATGGTGAACCTTCGAACTATGAAGAAGCGATGGCAGGCCCAGGTTCCAACAAATGGCTTGAAGCCATGAAATCCGAGATAGAATCCATGTATGAAAACAAAGTATGGACTTTGACTGACTTGCCCAATGATCGGCGAGCGATAGAAAACAAATGGATCTTTAAGAAGAAGACGGACGCGGATGGTAATGTCACCATCTATAAAGCTCAACTTGTCGCTAAGGGTTATCGGCAAGTTCAAGGGATTGACTACGATGAGACTTTCTCTCCCGTAGCGAAGCTTAAGTCCGTCCGAATCATGTTAGCAATTGCCGCATACTATGATTATGAGATATGGCAGATGGACGTCAAAACGGCATTCCTTAACGGGCATCTTAAGGAAGAACTGTATATGATGCAGCCGGAGGGTTTTGTTGATCCTAAGAATGCTAACAAAGCATGCAAGCTCCAGCGATCCATTTATGGGCTGGTGCAAGCATCTCGGAGTTGGAACATTCGCTTTGATGAGATGATCAAAGCGTTTGGGTTTATGCAGACTTATGGAGAAGCCTGCGTTTACAAGAAAGTGAGTGGGAGCTCTGTAGCATTTCTCATATTATATGTAGATGACATACTTTTGATGGGAAATGATATAGAACTTTTGGACAACATTAAGGCCTACTTGAATAAGTGTTTTTCAATGAAGGACATTGGAGAAGCTGCTTATATATTAGGCATCAAGATCTATAGAGATAGATCGAGACACCTCATAGGTCTTTCACAAAGCACATACCTTGATAAGATTTTGAAGAAGTTCAAAATGGATCAGTCCAAGAAGGGGTTCTTGCCTGTATTGCAAGGTGTGAGATTGAGCTCGGCTCAATGCCCGACCACGGCAAAAGATAAAGAAGAGATGAGTGTCATCCCCTATGCTTCAGCCATAGGATCTATTATGTATGCCATGCTGTGTACCAGATCTGATGTAAACCTTGCCGTAAGTTTGGTAGGAAGCTACCAAAGTAATCCCGGCAAGGAACTGGACAGCGGTCAAGAATATCCTGAAGTACCTGAAAAGGACAAAGGACATGTTTCTCGTTTATGGAGGTGACGAAGAGCTCGTCGTAAAGGGTTACGTCGACGCTAGCTTCGACACAGATCTGGATGACTCTAAGTCACAAACCGGATACGTGTATATGTTGAATGGTGGAGCAGTAAGCTGGTGCAGCTGCAAGCAGAGCGTCGTGGCGGGATCTACATGTGAAGCGGAGTACATGGCAGCCTCGGAGGTAGCGCATGAAGCTATTTGGGTGAAGGAGTTCATCACCGACCTAGGAGTCATACCCAATGCGTCGGGGCCGATCAAACTCTTCTGTGACAACACTGGAGCTATTGCCCTTGCCAAGGAGCCCAGGTTTCACAAGAAGACCAGGCACATCAAGCGGCGTTTCAACTCCATCCGTGAAAATGTTCAAGATGGAGACATAGATATTTGCAAAGTACATACGGATCTGAATGTCACAGATCCGTTGACTAAACCTCTCTCGCGAGCAAAACATGATCAACACCAGAACTCTATGGGTGTTTGATTCATCACAATGTAACTAGATTATTAACTCTAGTGCAAGTGGGAGACTATTGGAAATATGCCCTAGAGGCAATAATAAAAGCATTATTATTATATTTCCTTGTTCATGATAATTGTCTTTTATTCATGCTATAATGGTATTATTCGGAAATCGTAATACATGTGTGAATACATAGACCACAATACGTCCCTGGTGAGCCTCTAGTTGACTAGCTCGTTGGTCAACAGATAGTCATGGTTTCCTGACTATGAACATTGGATGTCATTGACAACGGGATCACATCATTAGGAGAATGATGTGATGGACAAGACCCAATCCTAAGCATAGCACAAGATCGTGTAGTTCGTTTTTGCTAGAGTTTTTTCAATGTCAAGTATCTCTTCCTTAGACCATGAGATCGTGTAACTCCCGGATACCGTAGGAGTGCTTTGGGTGTATCAAACGTCACAACATAACTGGGTGACTATAAAGGTACACTACAGATATCTCCGAAAGTGTCTGTTGGGTTGACACGGATCAAGACTGGGATTTGTCACTCCGTATGACGGAGAGGTATCTCTGGGCCCACTCGGTAATGCATCATCATAATAAGCTCAAAGTGACCAAGTGCTTGGTCACGGGATCATGCATTACAGTACGAGTAAAGTGACTTGCCGGTAACGAGACTGAACGAGGTATTGGGATACCGACGATCGAGTCTCGGGCATGTAACGTACCGATTGACAAAGGGAATAGTATATATACGGGGTTGCTTGAATCCTCGACATCGTGGTTCATCCGATGACATCATCGAGGAGCATGTGGGAGCCAACATGGGTATCCAGATCCCGCTGTTGGTTATTGACCTGAGAGCAGTCTCGGTCATGTCTGCATGTCTCCCGAACCCGTAGGGTCTACACACTTAAGGTTCGGTGACGCTAGGGTTATTAGGAAGACTTGTATGTGAATACCGAATGTTGTTCGGAGTCCCGATGAGATCCCGGACGTCTTAAGGAGTTCCGTAAGGGTCCGGAGGTAAAGATTTATATATGGGAAGTTCTCAAACGGACACCGAAAAGTTTCGGGGGCATATCGGTATTGTACCGGGGCCACCGGAAGGGTTCCGGGGGTCCACCAGGAGGGGCCACCCCTCCCGGGGGGCCACATGGGCTGCGTGGGGCAGGAGCCAGCCCCTGGAGGGCTGGGCGCGCCCCCCCTTGGGCCCATACGCCTAGGGTTGGGGGGGAACCCTAGAGGGGGCGCCCCCTTTGCTTGGGGGGCAAGTCCCCCCTCCCTGGCCGCCGCCCCCCTCTAGATCCCATCTAGAGGGGCCGGCCCCCCTTGCCCCTTCCCCTATAAATAGAGGGGTGAGGGGAGGGCTGCACACACAAGCCAAGGCGCAACCCCTCCCCTCCCCAACACCTCTCCTTCTCCGTCACGAGCTTGGCGAAGCCCTGTTGGAGTGCTGCTTCTCCACCAACACCACGTCGTCGTGCTACCGGTGGAGCTGTCTTCCTCAACCTCTCCTTCGTCCTTGCTGGATCAAGACGGAGGAGACGTTGCCCGTACCGTACGTGTGTTGAACGCGGAGGTGCTGTCCGTTCAGCATTTGGTCATCGGTGATCCGAATCACGTCGAGTACGACTCCATCATCACCGCTCCCTCGAACGCTTCCGTACGCAATCTACAAGTGGTATGTAGATGCAAACTCACTCCCTTGACTCGTTGCTTAGATGAACTCATAGATGGATCTTGGTGAAACCGTAGGAAAATTTTTAATTTTCTGCAACGTTCCCCAACAGAGTGTTCAGCAAATAAACATAGTAATTTGAATCAATTCTATACTTTATATACTGAATACAAGAGATATATTTAATATGCAGAGAAGAAAACAAACATACCCATCACGAAAAAGAAACTAAGACATACAGTGATGTGTTACCCTGATTAGTACCTATTGGTAAAATATGATTCCTCATTCTTTTCTATAATGTGAAGGAACATTGGGACACGGAGTTTCTGCACACGAGCACATATAAGCTCTTTATCGGCACGGATGGGGTGCAGTTAATTCGTGGGTGGAATACGGGGTGCGAGTTAATGATGTAAATTGAGGAATACGGGCATGAGGATTTGTGAGCTGTCCCCGAGGAAAGAACGGAGAACCAGCCGCCGTCAGCCTGCGGGAGGCGAGCCGTGGCTCAGGAAGTTCGTCGACGTTCTGATCCATGGAACAGGAAAAACACTTTCCTCGTTGGTAGTAGTAACTACGAGGTGGAGGGGTGGGAGTGCTCTGCTTCCTGTAGGCACTCCATCGTACCATCAGCGAGGTCGGGTCTCCTGGAATCTCAGCCACCGTGGGAATGGGCCGTCGCCGATGAGCAGGAGATAGAATTCCTGATGCAGCCAATTAAAAGGTAACGTACAGATCCTCTTTCCCGCAGTACAGATTTGTGATGAATTCCTTCCCTGCGATTGACTTTCCGTTTCCGCATCTGTCGGAGCAGATTCACGGTGCTTGAGGAGGTCAATGATAGCGATGTCCCGATGGCGCCGCTGCATTAGCCCGTCGCCGGCGTCGGCGAGCTGCAGCACGCGGCGGCCCCAGAGCTGAGCAGGGACGGACAAATCTGTGCGACCCAAGCAGTGGTGGCGGCAGACTGGCAGAAAGGGAAATTTCACCCCAAAAGGCTTGATTAATGAACCTAGAAAATCCCTCGAATTGGATCCCACTAAGCGTCCGAGCTCTCCACCGGCAAGATGAACCCACAGTTTACTGGATGGGCTCGTAGGTATGAACTTACTTCCGGCTGTGATTTTGGATGTTGGTATTCAGGTCACTGTTCCCGTATATAGGCATAGTGGATAAAATTCATCCATGGCCAGGGGTAGAGCAGTCCCATTGAGGATAGATTTTTACTGGCCAAATTTTGGTATTCCATAATACAATGGGTACTCAATGGATGTATAAAATTCAGTTTAGAAAAAAAGGGTTTCACACGATCTTCAGGAGTTGCTTACAACATTATAAAATTCACTGGCAAAATCATACGCATTTCGCCAGTCTTTCACGCGAGTTTCTTACAAAATTGTAATCCGTTCTTCAGGAGTGCGACATCTTAGAATTGAGGATTGACTGCAGCATGTATTTGTGCTTTGTCGTTATCACACGATAACCAGAAATACCTTGTTGGCAGTTTGGCCAGTGTGGCCTGATAAAAATAATGTGCCTGCTGCAATAATGAACTTGCCTTTCATCGATGTGGCGACGTGCGTGCCGATCACATACACAGAGCCTTGTTACCTGAGATGTGCCTTTTAGATTTATTGGTTTATGAACCCAGCTATCTTATATGCTACTCCTTTTGTACCTAAATATATGATGTTTTGGTAGACTAAACTGGCCTACCAAAACGTCATATATTTAGGTACGGAGGGAGTAGATTGATATATATGTTTATTTCCTGGTACAGAGATAGAAAATACGGCTACTCTAGTGGGAAGTGCATACATACATGAATTTTTAATATAGCAAGCAGACATTGATGGTGATCTAAAAGGAAAATTTAGCAATTTACTATGTTGTACCTTCATCATATAAACTAGTGGTAAATAGCTCAGGTAAGTTTTATGTTAGGAGTGCGCCAGGTGAACACTCGAATGTTACAGAACTGAGCTCAGATGGGGTTGATGTATCATAAGTCAATAAGTGCCTGAATTGGGTATCTACCATTGGAGTTGCTTATGGAGTTTGATATGGTCTTTCATATAACTAGTAGAGAAAATATGCGATTGTTCTAAGGAGGTCGTCGTTTGATGTCAGGTACCAAATTCGAAAGAAGCAGTACAAGTGTACAGCTAGAGAAGTTGCCGAAACAATTGTAGCTATTGAAACAGTGACCCAAGGTGCTGTAGCTCAAGCTAACTAGCATGCAAGGCCGACAACTGTGGCGTCATGGCAACAGATGTGTCAACAGAAAGAATTGAAAATGATGGAAGAGAGTCCAGTTCTTGAGGACTGTGCAACACATTCCAGCATCAGACAGCTCCGATGACATGAAGATAAGAGCGTCGATGAGGCACAAATACCAGTGTCTGCATTCCAGAATGATACATCATCTGCTGGTAATGGGGGGATTTTTGCAATAGATATGTGGAAGTAGATCTATGGGTTAATTGCTCTAACAAGGAATATGACTGATGATGACGCAATGCTTGATAGATAATCGAAGCACAGATTGTCGGAGGGGGACAGGTCTAGTGTCCGAACTGATGTCGAGGAACCTAAGGTTGCAAGTTGGTATGGTGAGGACAATTGTGTAAGGTGATATGGGGGATAAATTCTGATGGAAAGCCGATTTTGAAGCATGAATTTTCTATGACAAATCCTGTCATGTACCAACATGGATCTTAGCAAGTGAGTGTAACTAAGGGATTAGCGTTATTAAATTCGAAATGAATCATGGTAGCTTCAGTACTCACTGAGGTTGTCATTTGCAGGATATGGTTCAAGCACATGGTTCCAACATTCGCTTTGCTGACGGGAGAGGACTACATCAAGGAGTTTGGACAATTACATTAGTCTTGGTTAACAACTTAAACCGGTGAGCGCTAAGATCAGTCTTCGTGTTTGCATTCATACTGCTTGTGATTTTGACCCAATGGTGGTGGAATGTGCAGATCCGACATCACTATCTCAGGAGGTCAATTGCATATGAGGTGATCTCGATGAGAGGTAACATGGGTGAGTTGCCATGAGAGGTAACATGGGTGAGTTGCCCAACTTCATGATCGAGAAAGTCTTCTTCTGATGTGGGAGTGCTGATGTGGTACCATGTGGTTGCTTTTGGGTGGGACTTTTTTTTTGTGCGAGTGAATTAATGTGCTTCTATTACTCAGTGATAAGCTTTTGGTTGGAACCTGAAGCTGTGCCTACGGTTCGCGGGTACTTGTTACTTGTTAGCTTCCATCCCAGTTTCTGATGTGGTTGTGCTTGTAATCCCATTGTGTGGTAGCCTACCATTATGTATGTGTTAAATCTGAACCACTATTTTGAGCCAGCTGTGACATGTTAGCATCCATCCCGCTTGAGTAGTGTGGAAGTGCTTGTGGTCACACTGTGCCGAGACTTCATGAACTAGTGTGTGTGAGACTATGATCTGAACAAGCGATGCTGCAATTACTATTTGCTTGTGTTAGTACGTACCTACTTTTTAGCTATGAATAAAAAGAATTTGCATTAGTACTTGCGACGACAACTTGTGATGCATAGTGCGACCTGAAAAAGTTGTTCGCCATGTCCGGCAGCGGTCATGATCTGTTTTTTTAACAGGCGGTCGGCGGTGATCTTGCAGAAGGAGGTCAAAGACAGAGGGCTTGGTTTCCTTGGTGGCAGATCAAAGTATTAATTGCAGCAACGTGGCAGTGGGTAGACGGCTCAGGAAGGTATAGGATGTCGGTCTAGCACGTCATATTTTATCTGGGCCGGAAAGTACTTGACGGGCGCAGGTGTAATTAATGCGACTCAGAGGTGGGCCATCACTCAAAGAAATAATCATGTAGGACTCCCTATACGAGCTAAAATACAAGCGGGAGTGTGAATCTGGAAGAAAGCAGACGGATGTGATAAAGTGTGCAGGTGTGCTCGGGCTCATAAGAGCACTTTCGGGGACATTGCCGTTATACTAGTACCCAGACTCAAAATAGTTAATTACACAACGATTTGAACAATAATCATTTAAAAAGATACACTACTTCAAGAATATAAAAAAATAACAAACAATAATCTGAAATAATATATAATGCTCTTTTGAAGCTTCGTACTTCCATATCTCATTGATTTCACCTACTACATTTGATGAAGAAATGAGCTAGTACTAATTTTTTGATCTGAACTTTTCTCCAAGTCAACTGTGCCTTTCTAACCAGGTATTGGTACTTATGTAAGAAGTGTGCTCATTGTACATGTGTATTCTGTTGGGAGCAACATAAATTTCTTTTGCAAACATCAGAAAAAAGTTGTTAAGGAAAAAAATTATGGCTATATCAAGGAAATTTTCATATATACTCAAAGATAGAGAAAATAGTAAAAGGTTGTGACAGCTATACCTCTCCAGCATCAGTCAACAACTCCAAAGTTCTAGCACTTGAAAGACTCTGAAGAATATGACGGCCACCTAAAATCTTCGCATCATTGCATTCTCTATATCCACCATAGATACTGTCTTTACTGGAAATCAGGCCTTTACCTTTGTAGCCATACTTTGCATCATTTGCAATCTCACTGTATGCATAGGTATTGTCATCGTTGTCGATATCACCACCATAGTTATAATTATCCTTGTAACGATCATGCCTGTAAATTCCTTCAGCAAAACCATGTCCATATCCAAACCTTATAAAATCATCATATCCAACATTATCACTCAAGGAAAACTCATCATGAATCTTCGAGCTCTCTGTCCAATCATTATCGTCGCTATCATCCCCGTCGTCATCAGTAGTTCCATCAACAGTAATCTTCATCACTGATGTATTCATTGTCATCACCCAAGAAAGAGTCATCAAGTATGATAGTAGCTGTGACAAGTGACCCCAAATTCTTGAACGATGGGACTCGGACGTAAGGTGTGATGAGGTGCAGAAGTAGGAGATTCGGAGCAGCAATGGAGAAGGCGCAACTGATCTCGCATTCGAGCATGATTAAAGTCTTCAAAGAGGCGGACACAATCCTAGGGCCCGCCACCAAGCAATCCTTCAGACCTAGTACTTCCAAAGACGTGCAGCTAGAAGAAAGCTGCCGGAGGATCCTGTAGTCGAGCATGGCATACGACAACTTCAAGACCTTGAGGTGGCAAGAGATGAACGACACGCGGTCCAACGACGCGATCTCCAAGCAACACCCGGTGAGATGGATAACCCGCGCGTTGCGCTTGATGGCGGCCCTCATCCACACGCTGGCGTCGTCATCGGTGAGGCCAGCTTCTTCGTCGCTCGACCGCAGGCGGAGCATGACCATGGGGGCTGACGCTTCACGTAGGAGGAAGAGCCGGTGCACGAAGTCGCGGAACTTCTCAGGCGGGTCGCCGTAGCGGCCAGTGGAGGGGCGCACGCGGAGATCGACGCAGGGCACGGACGCCCAGAGGTGGCGCCACCGCCGCGCGAGCACGCAGGTGTGGACCACCTCCCACGCCTTCAAGAATGACATGATGTGGTGCAGGAGCTCGTCCGGGAGGGCGCTGAGGTGGTCGCGCTTGGCGTCTGCACCGCGGCGGTGGCCCGGGCGCTGGGTGGTGCTCCGGTGCATTTCGTCGAGCGGAAGATCTGCATGCAGGTTTAGCGACACCACGGGGCTCAGCCTTGTCAGTCAGGATTTTGAATGATGGAACGGAACATAACATACCAAGAGAGTCGGCTTGAGATGGCCAAAAGTGAATTCCGCCAAGAGACACTCACGTACACAAGAGCTAGCAGAAGCACTTGATCGGTTCCTGTACAAGCATGCACTAGTACATGAGCCTGACTTGTAGTACAAAGTTGAAGGCGTTTTCAAACCTTCATCAAAGGATATGGAGTGCATTGCCGTCTGTTAAGGAAACTGACACAAACAAACTGCGGAGTGGAATGTCACAAATTCTCCAAATCCACTACCCAAAATAGTAATAAAATGATTGTACATAGGGGCGGCGTTGCCGGAAAGGAAAGCAGGGGAGAGGTGGCCACCTTGCAGCTTGGGCGCGGACGGCGTGAGCTCATCCACGTCGTAGATGTGCCAGAGGCGGGCACGGTGAACGTCACGCGGTGCCTTGAAGGCACCTACGCTGGCGGGGCCCGGCCCCGCCGTGGAGCTCACCGTCGCGACGACGGCCAGTTGCCGCACGGAGATGTGGGGCGCGATGTCCGATGGCGGCCTTGAGTCGGAGCAGCTGGGGAAGGGAAGGGATGTGCTTGGCACCGGATCTGTAGCGCCGCCGCGAAGCAACAAGGGAGATGGTCAGATGGGACTATCATGGGAGCAAATCCTGAAATAAGAACCGTGGGCGCCCCTGCGCTCTCTTAGAGCTTAGGCACTCTCGGCCGTCGGATCGATTTCTTGATGCGTTTTTGACCATTCGATCTCGCTCCCGGAAGACCTCGGCCGTCGGATCAAACCAAAAACACTGCCGCAATGAGTACTGTGCCCTCCAGCGTGCCACCGCCTGTTATTTCTATGCCCCGCCGAGGGCATTTTTGTCATTTCATGTCTTAGGTCAACACTTGCCCTTTTCCGTTTCGCTGCCTCCCTCCCTATCAGTGCTAGGACTATCACGGGAGCAAATTCGTTAGAAATGAGGGTCCTTTTTGCACAGAAGCGTGCATTTCTGCGTACACATCCGTCCCATTGAGTCCGTGCCATCCATCAATCCAGTGGTCCAGCTTCCAGTTTTCTATTTTTGCGACTAAGAGACATATTCTATAGCAGTCGCCCGACCAATATGGCGACTTTTGACTGAGAATGTCATTTTAGCATACTAGTCATCCGATCTTCGGCCTGCATTGAAGGGTGCTCCATATTCAACCCTTCAAATAATGTGGGTCATTGGTTTGGAGCATGCGTCATCCACTAACTGCTCGAGCGGGAGGAAAGTTTTGGTTCGGTCTCTTCCTCCCGCATGCAGCCCGATCAATGCTGGTGTCGCCCGTGCAGTTGCCGCTTCCGCCCTGACAATGTTGCAACCACGTATCCACCTGGAAGAGTGCCAACTAATGCTCTTCGGCACGTTCCCCTCCGGCACGTGGCAAATTAGCCCCAATTTCCAGCCGGAACACGCCCATTTCGCGGGTATATGAACCCATTACCTTCGCCATCAGCACCACATTTAACCTCTCTCCCCCATTCCCATCGCCAACACACTCACCTCACCGCCCCCCTTCACCGGCCGCCACCCTGCCC